TGTTTTTGTTGTTGGTGTAACCCATGCAGGCATTCATGGGAGAGTTTTGCCTTGTTTCAGTGTTGTACTATGGAAACAACGCAGCTACAGTTTGAAGGCCTGCATGGAGAGCAATTAAACCTCTTAATAGTGTGGTTCCAACTGACCTCCTTGAGTTCTCCATTATTTAACAATTGATAAATATATATAGTGTAATTAATAATGACAAAAAACAAGTCCAACAAGAGTTTAAGATTTTAGCAAATCTGATTCTATGGATGCAATTTTGAGTTAATAATGTTCACAGGTTGAAAGTTAAGTTAATTTATATGCTAATTTATTAGCAGCATTTATCCAGGCTGGCAAGCAGGATTGATTGGGAGCCTGCAGAGAATAACTATGCATAATATGTCTAGCGATGTGAAGGGAAAAAAGTTCAGCAGCAAGCTTAAATTGAATGGGAACCTGTTAAAATAGTATAAGTATAACAAAGTACATATAGAAAAATGAAAAGCAAAATGAGCCCTCAAAAAAATTATGAGATGCAGCTACATTGTAGTCGCAAATCCACAATTTATAACAAACTCCAACAATTGAGATCAGGTCAGATCCTCATACACTTCTTAACCTTTGCACGACTTGCTAAATGGAATATATATGAGCAATAAGTAAACCTGGAAATTTCAATTGTCTTTTTTTCTGACTAAAGAACTCACATTATGTAAGAGCTTTTGTAAATCTGCAGTTGAACTAATGAAAACAATGACAAACGTGGCAACTCATTCTCCTTGCGTTTGCTCTAGAACTGCTATGCCTTATGGGAAGCACAGGCTTCCCAACACAAGAATAGGAAATTGTTAACAAGTGAAAATATTCAATAAAAAAGGAAACAACATACATTGTATATAACACAGCAGTGCATATTTCATTAATTATAAATTAAAATTAAGAATAAATTAAAAATGAAAATAAACGCATGACAACAAAACAAATTCGATTATTACATGCAAAAGCTGGAATCCATCATACAGTAGTACCTATATGGGAACTAAATAAGGCTAGAAAAGGTTATTCCATATTCCAAGAACTTATTTGAAACCCTAAACAGCAATGTCAGGAAGTTACTCTTAGTGGTTACAGATTTAGTGACATGCACAATGCATTCAGACTAGCCATCATACCTCAAAAAGCTGGAATCCATCTTACAGCAATACCCATAGAAATTAAATAAGGCTAGAAAAGGCTTTTCCATTGATTCCCAGATGGCCTTGAGTGAAGTAGAAAATTTACCTTGGTCCGGGAAGGACCTTTGTAATGTTGTGTGGATGATAAATTTGATGTTGTTGAACTCTATGTTGATGACACCCAGCCCAATCTGAGGTAGGCATGGTGAACTTGTGGCAAAGGCTAAGAAGGACTCCACCTCACTCTCATCTCTTTATCTTTCTGGAAAAAAAAAATCTACTGATCATAGATAAAGAAACGATTAATTGAGTATGTATCTGTATTCTTTTTAAAAAGTTGATCTTGAGGGTTTGGTTTCCTGATTTGTTCATTTATCTTTTGAGGAAAGTAATTAAAACTCGAGGAAACAATCCTCACAATCCTTGCTGTCAATTTCATGGGAAGCCCATAGTCTGCAAGGACAACAACTACTCCATTATAGAAGTTATAATCAAAACTGGTGACATCTTCAGAAATCTGACAATGAAATCATTATGTGACCGAAGGCAGGTTCTGATGTTGTTATTTGAACAATGAGACAGACTTATAGTCGCAAATAAATCTATTTATACAGGAAAGTACAAAAAGGAAAAGGGTGATTGCAAGCTAAAAGAAATAAATAACAAATAACAAATCACTACAAAATAATTTACGATAAAATGATGAAAATAAAACAACATGTAAAAGTACAATAGATTGTCATGGCAATGCACTAAATTTAATAAACAAGACAATTTCAAAGTATTGCATGACAGAACAGTGATCATTGTGTGACAGGGTCTGCCTTTTGCATGGTGATAAGTTTGTGTGAGTGGGGAATGATGTTATAGCAATCACTGTATCATCTCTAGGTAACTTTTTATCCTCATCTGATGATGGGTTGGTTGTGGATAAATTATGGTCTGGTTCATGTACGGCCATTTGTCTCATTTCTATTGGGATAGGTGTTGTTACAAGTGCATGACTCAGGTCAAGTGGTACAGAGGTTGCCATGGTCACTATGGACTCTATATGTAAAAGCTCATCTTCCTTTGATTCTTCTGTTTCATCTGGCACTGGTCCATGAGGTTGATGTGATAAAGTGTCAGCATTTGCATTTGATCTTCCACTCCAGTAATTGATAATAAAGTCAAATAAAGTGAGATGAGCATCCCATCGTTGTTCTAAAGCACCAAGCTTGGCAGTTGTTTGCAAGTACTTCAAGGGGTTGTTTTCAGTGAAAACTTCAAATTTTGAACCAAGTAGGTAGGTCCAGAATTTCTCAGTTACTGCCCACTTTAGGGCTAACAATTCAAGCTTCATGGCTGTAATCTCTTGGGTTCTTCTCACTTGGCCTCAGTCTTTTACTTGTGTAGGCAATGACTTTGCACTGACCATCCTGGTCTCGGGACAGGACTGCTTCAAGTCCAACATGGCTGGCATCTGTTTCCACAATAAATGGTTTGTTGTAGTCTGCAAAACCTAACACTGGTGCGTGTGTCAACTTTGTCTTCAATGCATCAAATGCAGTTTGACATTCTGAGTTCTATTGTTTCATGAATGAGACAATCAATTTCTTCTCTACTTTCAGCTTGTGTAAACAGTTGTTCACTAATTGATGTGGTGGTCCAGTAATTCTTGCAAAGTATTTGACAAATCTTTGATAATAGCTGTAGAATCCAATAAATGTTCTTTGACAGTCGTTGGTGGTTTCCACTCGAATACAGCTCAGGTCTTGTCTGGGTCTGTTGTAATACCATCAGATGAGATCTGGTGACCAACATAAGTGACTCTGAAGTGAAGGAATTTACACTTCTCTGGTTTGAGCTTTAGGCCATGTTCTAGGAGCCTCGTGAAGACATTGTCAAGTCTCTCAATGTGCTCATAGAAGGTATTAGAGTAAACAATGATGTCATCTAAGTATGCGAGCAGTATTTGAAATATGATATTGTTCAAACAAGTCGGCATAAGCCTTTGGAAGGTCACAGGACTGTTGGTCATTCCCATGGACATCCTGTAGTATTAAAAAATTCCGAACGGTGTTGTGAAAGCGGTCTTCTGTTGGTCCTCTTCATCCATAGCAACTTGATTGAACCCACTTGCTAGATCCATTGTTGAAGCCAATTTTGCATCACCAATGGCATCAATGGACTCTTCGATTCTTGGTAATGGGAACTGATCTCTGATTTTCTTGGCATTGAGACGTCTGTAATCAATGCATAGCCTCAAGGAACCATCCTTTTTTCTAACTAGCACAATAGGGGCAGCACAAGGACTGTGACTTTCTTGAATGATACCGTTATCTTGAAACCAGTTTGGTGGGATTCTCCAGTAAGGCTGTAGGACTGGTACTTAATGTATGGTTGGGATCTTGTGTTTGACTGTCTCTGTATATCCAAGGTCATTTCATCCTTTGTGAAGACACTTGCATGCTTCTGAAACAGGCTCTCAAGGTTGTTCTTTTGTTTATGAGTACATTTTACATCTGAGAAATCAATTGGGCACACAAAGGGCTGTTCTTGCTTGTTGTCTGTTTTGAATTCTCTGACAAACACCATCTCATCAATGATTGATACTCTTTTGAAGTTGATGTTGTTTTAGTATCCTCGACATCTTTAATCTTATTGAGTACTCCTATCCATGTGTGGGGTTGAAGCCAAACATCTTCATCAGTAATATTAACGACTCTTACATGGAGCTGCCCATTACTTACGTGAGTGAGAGTATTGATAACAACAAGGTTTCCTGGCACTTGTCCATTAAATGGTTCCACAAGGGCAGCAGTGTTTCTTGTTTGGGGTCCCTGCCATCCATTGATTCTAACAACAGATCCATCTGGGACTCCAATCTGGGACTTGCCAGCTACTTTACAAAACCACGGACTGAGATGGACTTGGTACTAGATGTAATCTCCGATGCTTAGCTCCATTGAGGGGAAATTTCTGCTTTTCCATTCTTAAAAGGTTTGTGCAGTTGGGCAATTATGTTCATCCCTATTAGTCCAGGGATAATCTTCTTGCGTTGCCTGGCCTCTTGACTGGTTGGACTCTTTACAAGTAAAGTTCCTCTTCATGGGATCATGACTCCCAAGGCTTCAATGTCCAGTTCTAGGTATCCAACATACAGTATTGTTAGTCCATTCACTGCAGTTAATCTCAACCATTCACCAGTAGGTAAAACAGGTTTTCCTTGGGGACGAAAGTGGTCACTGAAAAATTCTTCTGTAATTGGGGATACTTCAGATCCTGAATCTCAAAGGCAAGGTTCATCTACTCCACCGAATCATACTGTGACCACTGAGCACTTTCCAACTACTTTTTCGTATACTGTTGACATATCCATATTTGAGCCATTGCTGTTCCCTCCTGTCACTTGGCTCCTTATGACAGAGGGAGGTAGTTTGGTGACTTGTCAGGGTGTGTTTTACCTTGTGGTGGGCCTCTCCTGCCAGCTTGGTTGTCCTTAGCCCGGCAGTTCCTAGCAATGTGTCTATTCTTGTTGCATTTGAAGCAAACAATTTTATCACGCTATCCACTCCATTCCTTGGCTGAGTGTTGGGTCCTTAGCTGTTGAGGTCTCTAATTGAACTTGTCAGTTCTTCTAAGGGCTTCTGTTACTTTAGAAGGACATCCAAAACCTTATCCAAAGGGGTGTTGGTGGAACAAGCGTGGCACTGAGAGCTTTCAGGAGTGGCAACTGATACTTCTTGAATCTAGGCATGACTCGCTGTGGTCTCTCCTCTTCTTCTGACCAGCATAGTGCCTCCTCCCTCAAATCCAAGAATGAAATCACTCCCTGATGAACCTGTTTAGTTCTTTTCAAAGAAAAGAATCCCTCACATTGTCAGCAAAACGGTCTCGCAGAGTCTTCTCTGGGTCAGGGACTGCCTTTGGATCTGCCTTTGTGGCATTCTTGAGTAGTTCATTTGAGGAATACGAGTATGCTTGAAGTTTTTCACTTTCCTTCTGCTTCTGCCCATAGAAGAGCTTTAGGAATTGGGAGCTGGAACGTTTCTCCCCAAATGCCTGTGTAAGAACATCCAGGAGAAAGTCTGGGTTACTTCTATCCTTCTTTTTGTACATTTGCACCTCTTCCTTGGCTGGCCCTTCCCGATGAGATATTATGAAATCCACTCTCAGGGCCTTGAGTTGGTCCATAGCTTCTTTGTACTTCTTAGGCAATTCATCCAGGTCTTTCTTCAACTCCTCAGTAGACATAATGATTTGACACTAGAGCTGGTATTGCAACCACCCTTTTATAAAGCTAATTTTTTTTTTAATTGCTTCCTGAATTTTTTGTACCGTACTCACAGCACCGAATGTGAGTGAGGCAGGTACTGATGTTGTTATTTGAACAACAAGACAGACTTGTAACCACAAATAAATTTATTTATACAGGAAAGTACAAAAAAGAAAAGGATGATTGCAAGTTAAAAGAAATAAACAACAAATAGCAAATCACTAACAAGCAATTTACAGTAAAATAATGAAAATAACGAAAATAAAACAATGAGTTAAAGTACAATAGATTGTCATGGCAATGCACTAAATTTAACAAACAAGACAATTTCAAAGTATTGCATGACAGAACAGTAATCATTGTGTGACACTTACTAAAATACTAATCCTCTTATCCAAACATAACCATTGAATAGTGAGCTAATCTTAGAATTAAACATGAAATAACTGAAAACAAGTAAATGCTGATAAAGCAACTGTTCCCATTACCAAAAAAATATCCACCAAAACCAAATTAGGAACAATTCTTGACTGTATTAGTTTCCAAATAAGCTTTACAATCGTATACAGGAGACCATCCAGAATTGAACGAGCAAACACAACAAAAGGACAAAACCATGTGTTCACATCTGGGTTTTTTACACTTAATCATATCATCTAAGTGTCACTCAAATGTCTCATTTGAAAATTGAATAAACAGTGTTACGTCCATTTCCAGCTGTAACAACGATAGTTCAAAACAACATAATATTAAATAAAACTAATCTCAATAGCATTTTCGTATTTTCCCTTTGACATAAAATTAGGAAAATTGGTAACATATCAATCTGTGACAGGACAACATCTGTCATTACTGATGAACTAAACAATGAAAACTATGATGAAATATCTGATTTCACCAATGAACTCAGTCTGCTACAGTATTGCATAACATGTCTGGTGAATGAAAGGTAAAGATTAATACAATGTTATGAAAGCTGACTACACTCTAGACAAATTTTGAACCTGAATCAACTAAGGATTCAAGCAAAGACTAGACAATTGGATAGAGATAAGTACATATGAACTGTATTATTCTGGAACTTAAACTCTAAGACATAATAACAAGGTCAAATGTGACATACCAAATCCTCAGTCAAATAGGTCACCAACTTACGGTTGCAATGGAGTTACTTCTTATGACCAAGAGGTCCTGAGCTTGTAAGTACAGGTCTTGACACTCTGAACTACTGAATTTAACTAACTGTACTTTTATAAGGAATCAAACAATAGCTGGAAGTTCTTATGATTTTGAAGCTAGGCGTGATAGTGTGACATACAGGAAATTTATGATACACATCTTGTGAGTGGGATGATTTTATTATCAATAGGAAATAGTTTCTGCAGATGTAACTCTAAAACTAGGACAAAAATGTCATGCATTTTTGTTGTAGTTTTATTCATGCAGGTCGGTAATGACAGAGTGGCTGGTAACAGAAGTTGTTTCAGTTCTCCAATTTTGGGATCCTGTACAATTCTGTATATCAGACCTTGCTCTCTTGTAATTCTGTCCCACTGTTGTAACAGGGTGGCACACTGGTGAGAAAGTTTTTTCCTCTCTGCAAGGGTAGGTTTCATGCCTTTCTCCCAAAACTTCAGAAATTCCTTAATTGTAGGGTCTGCCTTTTGCATGGTGATAAGTTCTGCCTTTGTCAGAGTGGGGAATGATGTTGTAGCAATCACTGTATCATCTCTAGGTAACTTTTTATCTTTATCTGATGATGGGTTGGTTGTGGATAAATTATGGTCTGGTTCATGTACGGCCATTTGTCTCACTTCTATTGGGATAGGTGTTGTTACAAGTGCATGACTCAGGTCAGGTGGTACAGAGGTTGCCATGGCGACTATGAACTCTATATGTAATAGCTCATCTTCCTTTGGTTCTTCTGTTTCATCTGGCACTGGTCCGTGAGGTTGACGTGATAAAGCGTCGGCATTTGCATTTGATCTTCCACTCCTATAATTGATAGTGAAGTCAAATAAAGTGAGCGGAGCATCCCATTGTTGTTCTAAAGACTTCAAATTTTAAACCAAGTAGGTAGGTCCGGAATTTCTCAGTTACTGCCCACTTTAGGGCTAACAATTCAAGCTTCATAGAGCTGTAATCTCTCAGGTTATTCTCACTTGGCCTCAGTCTTTTACTTGTGTAGGCAATGACTTTGCACTGACCATCCTGGTCTCGGCACAGGACTGCCTCAAGTCCAACATGGCTGGCATCTGTTTCCACAATAAATGGTTTGTTGTAGTCTGCAAAACCTAACAATGGTGCATGTGTCAACTTTGTCTTCAATGTATCAAATGCAGTATGACATTCTAAGTTCTATCGTTTCATGAATGAGACAATCAATTTCTTCTCTACTTTCAGCTTGTGCCAACAGTTGTTCACTAATTGGTGTAGTGGTCCAGCAATCTTGCAAAGTCTTTGACAAATCTTTGATAATTTCTGCAGAATCCAAGAAATGATTTAACTTCTTTGACAGTCGTTGGTGGTTTCCACTTGGTTTCATCGTTTCCACGATGACAATGTTAGCCATAGGAACGAATAT